TGGCACATCGTCTCTCTGCCTTTCACCACTTCCTGTTTCGTATCGACGCGGATCTCCAAACGTCCTCACCACGACCATCGGCAACTCCAGCACCCACCCCCCTCCCGAACACTCAAAGGGATGAAGGAGTGGGGGGAGCAGGGGATGGGCGCCACGACCTTGCCAGGGTGTGCTGACCAGCACCCCCCAGAAAGGGATGAAGTAACTCGCCCCCCTACACGGTGTGACTTACGATCCGATTTACAAATTGATTATATTGTTTGGCTCACGTGGGACTGCATTCTGCCATTGTATGAATTCAGAGCGTTGTTATTGCTGCTGCTGCTGTTGTTGTTGTTGCTGCTGCTGTTGTTATTGCTGCTGCTGTTGTTGTTGTTGTTGCTGCTGCTGCTGTTGTTGTTGTTGCTGCTGCTGTTGTTATTGCTGCTGCTGCTGTTGTTGTTGCTGCTGCTGTTGTTGTTGTGATGTGGAGAATCCATGCTGGCTGCCAGGATGCCATGAACCAATCGTTCGTGAATTAATTATTCAATAAGAGTTCCAAGGTTCTTTTTCAGGAGGGTCCTGCAAGGAGATGATTTTCTAATTCCTTTTCATCATCACCAGCCATGCTCTATCCGCTGCTGGACGAACGCCTCACTCCCCCCCAAGCCGTCGCCATCTCTCACAGTTTCCATCCGGCACGCGAGACGATTTCACCAGAGCGCCGTCTCCCCGGTATGCATACTCCCGGGCACGTTCCCGCCCTTGGATGCCGCTCCATTGCGAGTCTCGCCTGCCATGGCCATCGTCCCTTCTAGCGATGACGTGTCCTGCGCGAGGCCGCTTATGTTCCTAACAGTCAACGTTATGTCTCCATATGACTCACGTTCTCCAATTCCACGTGTTCCTCTTTCTGTGCCCCCTCCGCCACGCATCCACAGACGCCAACCGAGACAAGTGACCTACACCCATACTTCACCACGACCGCATCAGACATGCAAAGCCATCAGCCCCGAGAACAGAACGAGAAACACTACAAGCTGGGCGAGCCAGTCCACTCACCACGTCAGATTGCGTCGACGGTGGTTGGCACAGGAGTTGGCTCGCTGGGATGTGAACCCAGCGATGACCTGAGAATGATTCCCGGACGCGGCTAACGTTGGCGATGTCTGAACAAACCGGCACCGTCCAGCATGGCGATGTATGGCCAAACAACCCACATTACGGCCAAAGGCGTGGGTAGGCATTCATCCAGCAGAGGATTGACAAAGGGCAGTAATCCGCTATTAATTCTACTGTAGATATATATGTGCGTACAGTAACATACGGATGCACGAGTTGAGCACTCATGTTCTAACACCCACGTGCTTGCGTTCTAACACCCACGCGTTGTAACGAAATTGCACCCGCCACACTGGCGTGCAGTGTAACGCCACATGTGTTTTACACACTGGAATGCTCATGTGACACTATTCCGCTGGCTGTCCTGCCCAAAAACCCACACACATCTGGGTATTGGTGTTGGCAAGCTCTCCGATGACATTCAAAGCAATTGTCTTTTGTAGTTTGTGTAAATGTGTGAAGTGTTCTTGGATGGTCACACGGATGGGTGTCATCTCATGCCAATAGCGATGACGGGCCTATCGACTCCACCAACAAAAAGTACTTATCCAGGAAGACCTCAGTGGGTCTGTTAATTTATTGTTTGTTAAAATGTCCCCTGGAATATTCCATGAGATGGACGGACATCTGGTTTGCAAGGGCAACCCCGGGGTCGATGGACACACACGTAACCAACACGTCACGACTCCTGCACACAAACGTTTTAAATCCACAACTTGTACTTTTCAGAAGAACAGTGCTGCATTAGGAGGTTTGGTCAATTCCCGGCCACACTGGTAAAATAACCAACTCAGCTCCGTTAACAACGAAAATTCATCGGGTACCTAAATGTGGAAACCACCACACATGGCCTCATGCGGCGGATAAGCAGATTAGCGGATAAGTCCCGCAACAGGAAGGTGCGTTCTTGGAATTAGCGGCTGAATCACCGAGCCGAAACGTCGCATTCGATCAAGTTCATCGCCGCCGGAGGAAGCGAGTGCCGGCACCACGCACAACCTGAGGCGGAGTCCACGCCCGGGTAGAGCGGGAGGAACCGCGGCCGCCATAGCAACGATCCTAGCAACACAACGACCCCAGTAACGACCCCAGAGATAGAACGCCAAACACGGCCACCGGACCCTCCGGCCACCGCAAAGCGCGAGCCGCGAGCGGGATTACGTTACTGGCACGAGCGAGCGTTTGACACCTTGGCTTAGCCGACTTGGAGGCTCAGCGGTATAGTAAGCGGCTCGCAAGCAGAGGGTTGTGACATCAAAACCTGGTTTGGGGGTTAATCAGCCAATCATATATATGGGTCGATAAAATCGGTACCACTTTACAGTGAAGTCAACAGTGGTTGTCATATGGATAGACGCCTCCGTCACAGGAAAACTGGAATTTCCACCACTGGCTCTGCAGGGCTGTCAACAGGAGATGAGCACCAATGCCTCAATGCTCGTTTGAACAGCAGGAGATCACTGACTGTAAGCAGATTGGTATCAACAAGTTAATTGTCAGAGAAAACGTCCGTTACAGGAGACGTATCTTCTTCTGCTTTATTTCTATTTGTTTTGCTTTTGTCAATTTTCGTGACGCAGGTCACCCTCGCAAATGAGACTCCTATCTTGGTCTCTTGAGTTGGTTAAAGAAAATAAACGTGGACTTGGACTTCCCGTGAAAGTCCACCGAGCCTAAAGGTCTCGTCTATAAAGCGAGACCTGGGCCCTTAGAGCCACACAGTGCACATCGTAAACCAGCAGTCAAGGCAACTCACGACAACAAAGAACATCAACAATCAAGACAGTTTGAATATTTTTCAACCAAAGCATTAATTCCAATATGATGCACTGTAGCCATATGGGCTGTAGGAGAATAGCTCAACGTAGAGGTGAAGCCCTACTGACACTCCATTGCTGGATGGGGGTCTCGACACGCTGTGTGGGTTGTCGGGGTTTACACGACCGGACCCCTGTTATAGTTTCCAGCTCTTTCTGAATCCAATGCTGGATGAAGGCCTCGTCCACGTTGTGTCGGTAACAGGGGGTTGTCTTTGATCATACCTCACCATGCTGGTCAGTACCAATCGGTGAAGGAACCTAATACCAGTCCAGATACCGCTCGACAACTGATAGCCGTGGTTTGGAAATAAAACTCGGGTCGATAACCATTGCATCACCACTCCACAATGACAATTATATTTACGCCAATTAACATGCACACCTGGCCAATGAGTTTTCACCTTGTGAAATAAAACACAACTGACACGTTCCGACACGGCGCTCCCATCGCACACAGGAATCGCAAGCCCTGAAGCTCCGTGCGCTGATAATCACGCACGAGTGTACCACCCGGGAGAAAGAGAACCGCGCCGTAAACAATGGCCACAGCACGGAAATAACCAATGGGCAGTCACACGCATGCACGTACTCGTGCAGGCACACGTGTAGGGTTGGGGCTGGGGATGCGTACGCGAGGGCCTTAAGTGCGTGCGAGGCTCCTCCGAGGGGCCCTGGAGTGCACTCTCACACTCGTACAGTGGCCACTGCAGACTCGCCCTGGGGGAGTTGCGGAGCCAAATAGAGTGGCAGCGTCCGGAGGGGATGGCGTCTCGTCCTGATGTGGCATTTCACTCCCTCCCTCCATCGATTCATCCCCCCCCCCTCTGTCCCATCTCTCTCACCCACCTCCCTCCCATCTCCCTGGTAACTGGTGAGAAGTCACTGATAATTATAATAACTCTGCTCTGAAAAAGTGTCTCTCGTGCTAATCTACACAGGTGGTTCTGAGCCAGAAGTGCAACATTCCACATTCCTCTGGCAAGGTTTAACTCTGATGTTTTTACAGCTATTCCAATGCTCCAGCACATTTCTGCAATGAGTACAACGCTCTCACACAACGATTCAGGTAGTAGACTAAGGGCGGGGTCCACATGGGAGGACCGTGTCCACTGAGGAGGAGTTACAGGACCCACAGGCACCCTCAAGCGCCTGCTGCCTCACCGTGGCTGTTGGTACTATTAGTCACCTGCCACCTACTGCAGCTTACCGATGACCCAGATACTTCCGCACCCAGCACACCACGTCCAGTACACCTCTCGCTTTGGGCGGTGGCTACTAATAGTTACGCGCCGCTTACGCCAGTTAATTAGCGACCCGGAATAAATATTCGGTGAGACACTAAGTCCTGGCCGTAACCCCACAACCCAGCGGGGGGCGGCGGCGGCGACGGAGACGGCGTCGTAGCCATGGTTTTGAGCGGCGGCGGTGGCGACGCAGCGCTGGAACCATTTACCCAAACAAACCGGGCAATCGCCAGAATAAATAGCGCCCAGCCAGCGCCACGGCTCCCAGCACAGCGGGGCCTCATTCATCTCCCACAAATTCCTTCCCCAAGCGATTCCAGATGTGCCCCGTTCGTCGCCGCTCCAACGACCACCACCCCCACCCCTCGCTTCTCTGCTTCAACGTCGCTTCTCCGCTTCTCTGCATCACAGCTGAGTGGAAGCGTTCGGCGGTTCGGCCCATGGTCGGGACATCGAGCGGAACGACCCAAAAGCGCGACAGAGAGCCTTGCGGCACGGTCGCGAAACCCGACGCAGTGGCAAGACGGAGCGCGCGGAGACGCTCCGAGCACGCGGGGCGAAACGTCGGACGTCGCGCCGAACATCACGCGTACAGTTGCAGGGACGCTCCCGCGTGTTCCATCTTTCTCCCACCGCCACCCCCAGTTACTGCGAACATGGCCATTATGCGCAGCCTAAGCGGGCTTAAAGTGGAAGTGGATCTAGAGTCTAGAGGGACCGGCCAGCATAATGTTGTTATTATTATTTTAGGAAACGACTGCTGAGCAGAGATTTATTTACGGTACGCGGACCGTACGCGCTAAGCGGCCGCGTTAATGGAAGCCACGTTTCTTACCTTAATCACTTCTTGCTGCTGCTGATTCTCCACCTTCTCCCGCTGAAGGTCCTTTATGAGCGCCTACAACAAACCGCCACACGGGGGTCAGAGCGAAGGGTCAACGCGCGAGGTGAAATATAACAGCAGCAGCGCCGTAGTGACACTCATTCGTACCTCACAGCAACAAGGGCCCGGGTTTGATTCCCGACTTTGTGTGAACACCTTTCTGTGTGCAGTGTGCATGCTCTCCCCCTGTTGTGCATGGGTTTCCTTCATCCAGCAGTGGTTCATCCAGAAAAAAAGTCTCGGTGATTTGCGCACTTGGCTACGTACGGTGTGAAAGAAGATCAACTTACATACGTTTAAGTGGTAATCATCTTCTATTTCCAGCCTCTAAGCTAGTAGTGGGAATTCCACATTCCTATGCCGAGGACGAGTCTACCCACAGGATAACCAATGTTGATCTTTCCCACAAAAGAGGACTCATTTTATCGACTCCGGAGGAATGAGATGATGGGCCGAACCGACTCCCCCAGCCAGAAATTACATTTTCAAGCTTCTGATTGTGAGCCGCCCACACCTACCTGAGACGCCTGGCTGGATGGAGTGTAATCTGTAACGCATGGGGCTAAAGCGTGGAAAAGTAGGCCAAGTACCCTCGAAAGGGGCTCTCAGCCAGAGCTCCCTCTCGTGGAGGCCCTTCTGCCAGCAGTGGCGTGAGCGAGCTATTGCAGGGCTACACCTCTACCTTGAGCGTGTACAGGGTTACCCCACAGGTTGCACCACGGCTGCGCGAGTGCCTTCCCATGGCGCGCAGGCTGCGGGGTTCTCATTCTCGTCCCAGCACTAACCAGGTTAAAACTGCTTAGCTTCAGACATCCGACGAGATCAGGTACAATGCCGGGTGACTGGTCACAGGCATTGATCGTGGCTACGAGGACCCAAGCTTCCCCACTAGGGGGCGCAATCTGCCAAGAGCGTCCACTATCTGATAAGGGATGCCCCTCCCTTGCAACAACGTGGGCTCCGTCCCAATTCAGCGAAACGTCTTTATTTAACCCTAACCATCCCGCCGCCCGCTACCAAACGCTCAAAATAAAAACCCAAATGTTCTCTACCCTGGAGAGCCTCGCCGGGTCACGGGACCCACTCGGGAGGGCCCTGCTGGGTTGGGGTGTGTCCCGGTGATGGTCGGCGCGCCCGACTTGCGACCGAGGTCGCCGGTTCGGTTCAAGCTCCCGGTGCGGCAGTTGAAACAACGGTGTAAGTTTCTTAAATTGCCCCTCCCGTGTCTGTGTGCTCAGCAGTACATTGTATACATGGGTTCACCAAGGTTGACCGATCCGCAGGTCGCGTGTGGGTGGGGTAAAGTGTGGGTAGGCACACCTCTTCTAAGATGTCTGGGCCAACGTGGAATAGTTGACCAAAAAACACTCCAGAGCGGCTCTCTAAAGCTTCCAGTTGTGGAGACGCAATCCTGAATGCGTGTGAAACCATGTCGCAATCATCGTCCCCTCTAGAACTCGACTACAACAATGAATCTCAGTTCACGAATGCACGTGGGATGATGAAACAAGTCGCTTATGAATTGCGCAACTGCTCGCAAGCACTTACAGAGATGTGCAAGCGCAGGCCCACAATGCATCAGAGCAATGCATTTGTGGGCGCGCGCTGGGCCCAGCCTGACGACAGCGACGACACTTACATCGCTGGTAGCACGGTTTTCCTGCAGCGTCCTTTTCAGCTTCTCGACGCGCATCCACGGGCTGGGCGGCCCCGACCCCCAGCCCTCCGACGAGCCATCGTCTCCCTCCGCTAGCGGCGGGGGGCCCTCGCTCGCCCGGCCACCCCTCTCCTCGGTAGCGCCGGCTCGCTCGGGACTGACGGTGCCCGCCATGCGGGATGAGGACAAAGAGCCAACGTGTAAAAATGTCAATAACAAATTTGTTTAAAATGCACGCAATTTACAGGACCAACAATTGACTGTAAACCCCAGGGCACGGGACGGCTCCCCACAAGGCTAACTTCACCAGGGCCAAGGACACTGTTCTAAAAACCAGGGGCTGGGAACCGATGGATCGAGGGCCAGACGTGGCCAACTACTTCAACTCGTACGAAGTTCAACATACATACATAATGGTTCCACTTGTGTACCCAGGAAGGCCTCAGCTGAGTCTCAAGATCCTTTTTCAAGAGGGTCCTGGCAAGTTTTTGCAGTCGGGGGCAATTTTGCTGCGGTGGGTGTAATCCCAATTGAGTGATTTGCAGGCAATTTCTGAGCAGTGGGATGTTTTGGTCCAATACAACCCAGGCCCGTATTAACGTTTAGGCATCCTGTGTTCAGGCATGCTATGATAAGTGCTATATGAGAATGTATTATGGACAGGTGTTCTCTATGAGTAATGCTCTGTGACAGGGTACCATGGTACACACACACACCTGTCATTAGGCCCGACCGCCACGGACCTCCTTCCTGTATGGGCCTCACGCCCGTGTGCTAGCTGCTGGAGCTGTTGCTGCTGTTGTCCCTGCGGCTGGTACGGCGGTGGTGACAATGAGGACTGCTGCTGCAGCTGCAACTGTTGCAGCTGCTGCTGGTGCGATGCACGGAGCTCCCCGAGCTCAGCCTCCAGCTCCAGGCCGCGCTCCCTCTCCGCTTGCGCCAGCCTGGCCATGTGGCCCAGCTCCTCCCGGCCCTGCTCCAACTCCTGGTACCGACAGAACACGTAGAGCCACGACTCGCTCACCACGGGGCGGCCCCAATCCACGGCAGCATCTACGTTTGATCACATCTCAATGTGGCCGGGTTTCTTTAAGGCAAGGCCCAGCAAGCAATGCAACTGTTTAACTTAAATTTCGTTTATACTTGATCATCTTTACGACAGTTACAGTGGCCCACCTGTCATAGGCAGAGGGACACTTGACAGGCGGACAGAGCTGTCACATAAACGCTGGTGCGTACCTCCTGCAGCTTGCGCAGCTGCCCCTGCAGCTGCTGCATCTCCTGACGCGCCTGCTGATGCAATCGCGAGATCTCTGCCTCTCTGCTCCCAGCCAACGTCTCCACCGCGTTGCTGTACGGGGTTTAGGTCGGGCGTTTGGGAGGGGGCAACACAAGGATAGCGATCAGCGTCCGAGCCACAGGGGGGATTGGGGGGGCGGTAGTAACCATGGACAGCAAGCGACTGGACAGCTCACAGCACTACCACTGCACCCGAGACATGGAACCTACATTTAACGTAATAGGACAACACAGGACAAACTGGGATATAATCTATAGTAAGTCGTAAATAATTTGTGTTTTTTTGCAGAAAAATACCAATTTTTGTAGTTGTTAATGTCTGATCATAAATCAAAACTGTAAACAATCATATCAGGTGCATTGTTATATTTATTTAAAACTTTTACCTGACAAAGACAGGCTTTATGAATAAGTAAATCATAATTCATACAATCACCGTAGGGATGAGCGGCGGAGTGATCGGTACTTGCAGAGTCGTCGTCTCATTCACATGGCTGTTAAACAGCAGCTGTTTGGGATGTCGTCGTAATGTAGCCAATCGGTTTCTTTATCTGCCGAGTGGTAATGCAGTACCTGGCCTGCACTCTCTCTGTATTGTCCCCAAGTGGCAGCCCTCAAAGGGTTCTTCCCACCGGCACCAGCAATAACCCCCCCCCCCCAAGCCACCCCGAGCGACGGCCCAGCCGCGAGCGCCCCGGCGCAGCTTAATAGCCGACCCCGTGGCAGCCGGCACCCGGGAGGCCATGCCGGCAGGGCGCTATGGGTCACGGGGGGGCCCGCCGGCCCGGACGGCCCACCCGGCAACCGTCCGCCGGTCTGTCGGCGCGTTCCAGGTAATCGTTCGTTATTCCCGCTCGAGGTTGTCGGGCGAACAAAGAATAATAAATGTTAAGATATTAATTGCTCACTAAGGAAAAACACGGATGACCTCTGAGCTAATTGCTGCCACGTGTTGTTGTGGTTGGCGCTCGGCGCCTGTCTCGTGGCGCGTGCCGGTGTATTGTAGCAGAAGAGCCGTGACTGCGGTGGGGATTACGGAGCAGAGCGCTGCCCCAACCAGGGCAGTGCTGCCCTTAACATTTGCCTGCATGTGCATGTGCGTGCCTGAGCACCTGAATGTGTGTGCAAGAGTGTGTGTGTGTGTATCTGTCATTCTTAATACGGGCTAGAGAGGAGACGGGCTGACGCGGCACAGGAGCACATAGAGCTGAGTGGACTTCCGATGACCGATACCAGCGGTGTCAAGTTCGGCCTCTGTGGAGGAGGCTCGTAAAGGACACTACTGAGCAGTTGAAGCCAGTTGCCCTCCTGCAACAATGGAGGGCAAAGTAGTGATGCTCACAACAACGAGCAGAGTGCCAGGTGGCTAAAACGCAGAAAGTTGTAACAGTAGGGAGCACAGATGGTGCAACTGGCAGTCATCTCAATCAGTTAACCCATGGCACCTGGGTCTGTCCCGTGACCTCCTGCCAGCAAGCCTTCGACACTTCACGTGGCCTCAAGGTGTACCTAGCGTGGCACAAGCGCTGTGGTGACATCACCGCAGTGGCCAATGGCGGCTGTTGTAGTGTGGGGAATCAGAGTGCCGTGGTTAGCCATGTCAGTCTTCATAGACGTTCGCTAAGAACACTTACACCAACCGCCTTTGTAGGCTACACGGATAATGTTTGTGTCTGTGTACGCACGTGTATGTACGTGTGTGTGTGTGTGTGTGCGAGACATACGAGGCCTTGACGAGCAGATTCTGCTTCTCCCTTAGGTCTCTCTTGAGGCTCTCCACCTCCACCTTGAGCTCGATGTTCTGTAGTAAGGACAATGACAAAGATCCCCCGTATAGCCTTTAACAGACTGTTGAGGCAAGTGCTGTGAGCAAGCACCTATGAAGGCCGTGACGGGACACGAGGGGGTGGGTGGCAAGCACCACATCCAACCGCCTTCGTCTCTCCAGTGCTGACGTTCACCCAGTACTAAGTACTAATTTCAGGCTGAGTTGACCTTGGGGTGCCAAATATTCGTCACTGTTGTTCGTGGGCGGAACTCGAACTCGGGTCACTGGGTTCAGAGTGGAGTATATCAACCACACCCCCTGGCACAGACACACACACACAGTCTATGCTCACGCGTATACAGTCAACCATACGACAACGAAGACAACGCACATTGGAAAGCAGTGCAGAATCCATGCATGTGCATGATTTTCATTCCTGGCTTTTGAGGCGATGGGGAAGGGGGCAGAGGGACAAACAAGAGGGAATAAGACCACACATCCGCCCATAGCAACAAGCATCAATCTATAGCAACGAGCAACGATCCATACCAGGCCATAGCCTGGACCGGCAAAGGCTTGGGTCATGTTGCCAAGAAACCGTGGAAACACAGCACGACCGGTCGTGGCAATGACGACAGAAAGGCAGCCACGGGCGCTGGCACGGCCGGATGTTGCCAGAGCGGCAGCACAAGCCTCACCGTCCGGTAGACATCTTCCGTGGCGCCATCGCAGCCTTCCTGCACGCGTTCTTCCAGGAAGTAGATGCGCAGCTTCAGGCTGAAGTTCTCCTTCTTTAGCTCCGCTATTTGCTGCACGGGGAAAAGACCGACGGATGCAGGAGGCGGTGGGGGGGGGGTGGGGGAGAGACGCCGGTGGTGAGAGGCGGCGGAACCAACGCCTGGGCACCAACGCCACCCCTCACCTCATCTGAACTCACGAAACATCATCCCTTACCCTTATGTGGGCCCCAACTACCACCTCTCCAACATCATCCATGACCCGTCATGGGCCCTAAGAATGCCTCCTCACCCTCCCTATGCCCCAAGGACCAATCCTCCTTCTTTTGTGGCTCATAAAAGCAGGGGTTACAAGCTCAGTCAAACAACCAATATGTAACAATGGCTCGTTAGAATGATTATCATGAGCAGGAACAAACTTGATAACCCACAGGTATATTCAAGCTTGGACTGTAAACATTTCCAGTCGAAACTAGTATGAGCTATTTTCAAATATACGGGGGTTATAATGTGTTTCCATCCAGTGACCCGAATTCAGTTACTGGCCAAGGCTAACATGAGTAGTGGCGAAGTATGGTCACGCAATTTGTACAACCGACACGGAGTGGGAAGGCATTGATCCAACAGTGGATTGAAAAAGGGCTGTGCATCTTAAAATTAATCCAGGACATCCCTCAATTTGCAAGATCGCCGGGACGGGAGTGAACGGTTTCGATCGTCGATAAACCACTCGCGTCCTTTCCCCCGCTGACGTCACGCAAACCGATCTAAGACAGAAGCAGCGGGGGCCGCGTGCTTGAGCCGGCACGGTGAAAGTTCCGGATCGGAAGTTTCTCATCCGGCAGTGTCCGGTCGTGAGGGGCACGGTGATCAACCGCTCCTACACCCTCCTCTTCCCGCCACCACCACCGCCACTGAAACCACTGCCGCTATCATTATCATTTCCGTCACCATCAGCAGCGCAACCAATACCACCACTCCATACTCCTGCCATCACCACCGTAGCCACCATCCTCATTTCCAAAACTACCAGCACCATCATCGTGGCTACCAACACCACCACTTCCTCCTCCTGCCACCACCACAATCGCACCCCCTACCCCGTTTCTCTGTCACCACCGCCACCACCTCCTCGTGCCACCACCACGGCCCCCACCCCTTTCGCCTGCCACCACCGCAGCCGCCGCCCAGCACGGAAGGACAAACCGTATCCGCAAATACCGCAGGGTGGGGGTGCACTTGGGGAGGGGGACATTTATTAATAGGGACGGACGAAACTCAACCGGGCAGTGGCAGGTGCATAACCTCTCCCTGCGGCTCGCGTTGTACCGATACGGCGCGGCGGTGAAGCCGGGACGCTTGGAGCCGGCCTCAGCGCGCAGTTGGCGTTTTGGCAGCTGAATAACGGCACGGCATGCCGGAGACCCGTACGCGCGCGCCATTTCAACCATCAGTGGTGGCGCCGTCAAAAGAATTTCAATAATTTCCCCCATACTCAAACGAGCTCGGTCTGGCGCCGATCTCTGGCACCGGCACTAAACCGGCGGTGAAAATTCCACATTCCTATGGCTGCGGCCTGGCCACAGCCCAGAGCAGGCGCGGCTGAGACGGTGCAAACGAGGGCCGGGCGGCGGCAGCGGTGACCCGGTCGCCACTCCATGAAACCTGAGCTGCACGGCATCCTGGGAGCAGCTGCCCGGGGAGAGCTCTTAGCCGCATCAATTATGTACGTGGTAAGAGACACCAGCACGGAGCGTGTCGGGGGACAGGAGGTGAGGGCGCTGGCTCGGAGGCAGCGATGTGACGGTGGGTGATGCGGAGTTAACAGAGGGAGATGTTTATTTATTTTAGTTTCCTTAGCCAGGTGAGAACTCAAGAGACCACGATGAGTCGCAAGAGTGACCTGTTGTGTGTATCGTGATGGTGGGTCACGGGGAGTTTTTGTGGTGGTCGGAGATGTTGCGTGTGGTGGGGGATGAGGGGGAGGGAAGGGACGGGAAGAAGGCGGGACGCCCACCTGTTCGTAGTCCTTCATGGTGCGGGCGCGTGTGGGTGAGATTTGAGTCCCTCCCGCCAGCCCTGAGGAGAAGTGAGGGGAGGGACGTTAAAGATCCCATTAACCAGGGCGGCTTCTGGGATTCTAACTGCAAACCTGTACAATGAGCAGCGAACGCGCGACCGCTGGGCGTTGTCTATAACACTGCGGCGACATATAAAATAATTTGCACAGTTGCTATCTGCACCATTCTGATAGCGCAATGTTACAGGGGGTCATCATCACTGCAGTTAGCTGGGGGGGCAGGGGGGGGCGGTGGAGGCACCGTGTGACACTGGTGACATTGAAACGTGCACACACAGGGAGAGGCTCCGACACAGGGGGGGGGCATCACGAGCTGGCAGTGTCTAAACATAGGACCGCGGGGGGGGGGGGGGAGCTGCACTCGCACATTCACAATGACCATAACACACAAATACACATTTACAGCAGGTGGATGAGTTTTGTGTGCGGCTGAATAGTAGAGGAGGTGGGAAGGTGAGTGGGTAAGCGAGTGTTGGGTAGATGAGTGGGTGGATGGGTGGGTTGGTAAGTAGATGGGTGAATAAATGGTGAGTGGGTGAGTGGATGACGAGTGAGTTTGTGTGTGGATTGGTGGGGTATCAGTGTGGGCGAATGGGTGGACGGATGGTTGAGAGGGTAAGCATGTGAACGGGCCGGTGGATCATTAAACAGGTTTATGAGTGGGTGCTTGTGCGTGCGGATCGGTGGATGGTGGGGATGGCAAGGGTGTGGGTCTGTGTGTGAATTGGCAGGTGTGTAAGTGGATATATGGATGGATGAGTTGGTGAGTGGTTTAACGGGGTGAGCATGTGGAGCAGTGGGTGAGTAAATGTGTCAGTGGATATGTGGATGGTTGAGTGGCTAAGTGTGGACCAGAAGATGTGTGGATGGATAGGTGGGTGGATGGTTGAGTGTGTATATAATGTGGTCGGAGGGTGATTTACTGGGTGAATGTACAAAGAAATGGACAGGTGGGTGAATGATTGAGTGGGTTGGTGTGTGTGAAGAAGCAGTGGCCCTCGCACTGCGCTATGAACCTGGCAACCCGAGTTCGAATCCCGCTCACGGTCAACATTAGTGACAAATATCTGAACTTGTCCTGGGCCTACCCTTGATTACTTGAGCCTGGTGCAGTGTGTAAAAATCAGTATTGCAGAGGCAAAGGCATGGTGCTGGACACTCACCTCCTCGTGTGCCATCCCGGCCTGAATAGCTTCTCGCTAACAGTATTTTCCCAAACAGTCTGTCAAGGTTGTAGGGCATCGTCGGATCTCCTTTGCCAGTACCAAAATATGATAATAAGGTTGTCCCCTTTTTCCCGGCAACAAAATAGGTGTTAAGATGTTAAAACACCAAACCGAAACCTTTTACAAGGAATCATGTCTGCATTAACCACAATGCTTGTGGTCAACACCGTTTAAGATGAGGCTCAAAAGAAAGCTGTCTCTAGTGTGGACCAATCCGTTTCAAGGACAATGGATATATTAGAGTACGTTTTTTGTTTGCATTCTGACCACAAGCATTGTGGTTAATGCAGACATGATTCATTGTAAAAGGTTTCAGTTTGGTGTTTTAACATCTTAACACCTGTTTTGTTGCCAGAAAAAAGGGGAAAAACCTATTATCATGTTATGGGGCATCTTTGTCATTGTCTTTGTTGTGGGTGGATGATTGAGAGGGTGAGAGAGTGGCTTTGTGTATGAACTGGGCGAGTGTGTCAATGGGTTTGTTTACGAGTTGATGGTTGAGTCACTGAATGAATAAGTGGGCATGTGAGTGATTGAGGAGAGGGGGAGTGAATTATTGCGAGCGAGAAGTTAAGCGAGCAAATTAGTGGGTTGGTGTGTGGTGGGTGACCGAGTGAATAAGCGGGTGGGTTAGCGATAGGCGAGTACGCAGTGAGGCATCGGTGATGAGCAGGAGGAGGAATGCCACCCGTACCTCCCGGTCCGCCCGGCTCCACCCCGAGCTCCATGCCCAGCAGCCCCCCGGGCTCCACGCCCGTCAGCTCATGCAGGCGGGACAGGCTGCTGCTAACAACAACGACAAGAGGCCTCGATCAGCACTGCACTCAGCTCTGCACCCGGCACCGCACGGTCACCCGCAGCTTTTGAGTCAACATCACCGAGTGACCTTTAAATGCGATCGCGAGCCTTCATGGACACGTCCACTGTTACCGTACTCCCCGGATCACAAGACGCTCCGGAAAGTAAGTCGCATCCCAAACTCATGCCCCGAGTCAATAAAGTCACGCACACCCGGTAAACTTACAAACACACTCACACACTTGCATAGACACAATAGCATGCACACACACTAACACACAAGACAACGGTCCCCCATAAAGTCTTAACAGACTTTTGTGGCAAGTGCTGTTAACGAGCACCTATGAAGGCCGGCACCCTGGCTCACCAGGTTACAGCAAGTGAACTAATCGCCATATGTACGGGGATAGAGCGTTGACCCCTCGCGCAAGGCGTGGGTTTTCTCCGGGTGCTCTGGTTTCCTCCCACTTGTATAATAAACATTAATCATTAATTGGCTGAAGACAACTTAAAATAAAAACCCAATGTGGGACGAGGAGGTTGGTGGCAGACAGCAAGTCCCAGCTGCCTTTGTTTCCCAAATGTTCATGCACCAGGAAGTCATTTAAGGCTGAGTCGACCTAATGGAGGCCCAGGACCAGTTAAGATATTCGTCATCGGCGTTGTCCGTGACTACTGCGCCACCGCTCCTCACGAACAGCACACACACAACTTACACAGATAACGACACACACCCCCAACTGTTGCTTCACAGCATAGGGGAACAATGCGAGTCTCACTATCCACAGGACTGGGCAGCGTGCACACTCGTGGCAAACGTTGGCGATGCCGAGCAATCCTTCGCTCAACCCGCGGCAAAAAAATACCACGCACGGCCAGGTGCGGCGACCAGGGAGCCACTCATGGGCCGTCCGGGGGCCACGGCCACATCGGTGATGGTCAGCACTAAAGCACCGCGTTCCCAAATTATAAACGTTACCCGCCACGCCACGCCATTCTATTCTGGGATGTTTTTCAGAGATGGTGTTTGAACACACGGAGCTTCACGAACAAACGCGTCACCCTCGCACCATTGCTCCGCCGTCACGTTCCAGCGATGTCGCGCTTTTGGGCCGATGACTCGAGCGCGCGGCGAGCGTGTGATGTGTGTGAACTGTGGGCAGCGGCAGCATAGCGGTTAGCGCGCTACGAACCCGGTGACCTGAGTTCGATTTCCGTTCACGGCAACCAGTGACGATTATCTGAACCAGTCCAGGGTATTTCTTAGGTTAACTGATCCTTAAGTGAGGACCTGGCATGGTGTTGACCACCCACCAGCCTTCATAGGTGCTAAACTAATACATGGTAAGCGAGTGTGTGCATGGGTAGATGATAGAGTGACCAGTGGCTTGGTGTGTCCGTGCCTCCGATTAGCACGGTTGGCTACGTACGGTGCGAAATAAGTTTGACAAACACACGTGAGCAGATGTGAGCGAATGAGTACCAGTGAGTGAGTAGGTGATTAAGTGAGTGTGTGAGTGAGCAAATGAGTCGGTGAGCCAGTGAGCACGGGGGAGTGCGAGCCCTTTTGAGAGTAGGCAATTGAATGAGCGAGCAAGTCAGCGAGTGAACGATCGAGCAAGTTCCTTTCCCCGTAATCTTGCGGTGCATGCGCGGTGAAGGAAGCCAGACCCCCCCCCACCCAATGCTGCCCGTGTGTAAACGCCCGTATTAGGACGCCGCCTGCTTGTATTTCCACCGATTTAGCTCTCGCTGAGCGCAGCTCCGACCGGGGCTCGGCACGCACTCCGACACCTCTCCATCCCGCTATCCGCTCCCCGCAGCGCCATGACACTTGTCTTTTCATTATCTCCCAATTACAATCCAATTGGGCGGCAGGGGGGCGAAGTGGCGGTGACGATCGTGCCTCACGGCAAGGAGCACCTAAGTTCCATTCCAGACTCGGGCGTGTTTCTGTACGGAGTTTGTATGTTCTCCACCTGTTCTGTATGGATTTCCTCAGGGTTCTCCAGTTTCCTCCCACAGCTAAAAGAAATACCCAATGTAACTGATATCAACTCAAATATCTACAAATTACTCAATTGCGAGTAAATGTAGCGACATTGCCCCCTATTGCAATAACTTGACAGGACCCTCCTAAAAAGTAATGTGACTACGAGTCTTTCCCTGGGTAAACAAGCAGAACAACCATGATTGGGATTGCTGCCACGGTGCAACGCAATGGCGCATGGAGTAATCTCAGAAAACTCCACGGTGACTGGAGTGGGGCGGTGGGGGCTAGGTGTAGGGTTAGAGTTAGGGTCGTGAGCAGGACCGATCAGTCATTGGCTGCCAGTGAACATCCACATCGCTGCATCCCGTGCGTGTGTCACACATGGCGGATGGACACCAGCACCAGCGGTGGAGGCGGTCACGTGAATTATTCATCTGCCATAAAACATTCAACGCCGCGGGGCACACAACAAATGCTGGTTCCCATTCGGCCGGATCGATAACAGCGCAAATACATTATCACAACAATGCGATTAGCGGCCACCATAATGGCCATTAGTAGCAGACACGCGGGACTGACAGAAAGTGACTCGGAGATGGCACAGAGATGGCTCACGACACCTAACCCGACTTATCCAGCCACGTACACACAGACCCACCAAAACATCGAGCTCGATCAACGAGGAAAAACAACACCCAGCCACCGCTGCCAACACCAAATCACTACACAAACCCAGCCCATGCTTTCATAACAACCCTACCAGCGAGCGGGATGAGGTATTGAGGGTCATGCAAGTGATGGCTATAGCGTTGTTACCGTATCCTCCGGATTATAAGACTGCTCTGGAAAGTAAGACAGTGTACAAAAAAAAGTACCTATAGACCACGCACCCAAAGTCATTGGTATTGGCCAAACATTCCAACGCTAAAAGTTGCTCAAGTGGGATTACACATGGCAATATGGTCTTCGAGAGAATCACTGAGGCATTTCCTGGGTAACCAAGCAAATAATAATGATAATTCAATACAATCATGTTTGTCAACAAGCAACTGGTGTCTGCTGGTTGGTCTTGTAACACCTCCAGTCTGATCGCATGGGATTATCTTTGATATTTTAACACATCGTCTGATCAGTCGGCTGGGCTTATCATCTCGTGATTTGATTCCATGGGGTTATATGAATCTTGGCGCAAGCTCTGACCTGGTCTCTCATTTACAGCAGTCATCCATCGTAGCTTCTATTAAATTCGCCGTGGACCCTTGGAGTAAACAGTGTCGTATGTATGTGGGCAGTGTTGATTCCAGACGCTACAAGACTACACGGACTGCGCTGCTGTTTGCCGTGGACCCTCAACATTCCGTGTCTCACATTTGCAGTTATTATATTATTATTAACCCTTCATCACCCCGTGAAGCTTCGCACGAGGACGCCACGTGCCACACACGCACGTACACGCATGTACACTGCCTGCTTGGCCAACAGTTCAACAACCCAGTGTGAACTCCACGGTCATTCGCAAGCTTTTGCCAGACGTAATTCCCCCGGCGTTCATGACCACTTAGTGCTGTGCCCGCTCTCCTCATAACTCACCTACGACATATCAATTCAACCACCCGCTCACCTACTTGGTCACTCACTCACTCTTGCACTGGTCTGTACACCTTCTGCTCAGCCGTTAACACTCTTGTTCACCCAACCACTCTCTGGCTCACTGTAAACCAATCCACCCATCCAATCACTCACTTGCATTCACCTATTTACTCACTCACCTACACTGTCGCTCACTCGCTCATCCACTCATTTACTCGCTCACTTGAGAACTCACCCACCCATCTACCCACTTTCTCCGACTCATCCACGATTCACTCAATCATCCATTAAATCACTCACAATGCTATTCATCCATGTACTCACAAATCCACCAACTGACCCACACAACCGATCTCTCCATTGCCCATACATAGACCCACTCACCCACGTTGCCACTCACTCTTACAGCTACTTATCCACTCTCTTGGGCATACACCAACTCACCCATTCGCTCTCCCACACTACCGCCCACCCGTTTTCTCACTCACACTTTCGCTTGCTTGCTCATTCACCCACTCGCACACCCTCTGGCTCACCCACCCATCTGCTTGCTCACCCACACTTTCGCTCACTCACCGACCCCACACGGCCACACAAAGGCACCGACCGGGCGGCATCAATGTTTAATGGCCCCAGCGGCCGTCCGAAGAGCGCCAGGGGCACCGGAGCTGGCGCAGAACTCAACAGACGCGGCGTAACAACAACAATAAGTCCTTTATTTATACAAACAAAGCCACGGCTGAGTCTCAAGGCTCATTTTCAGGAGGGTCCTGCGATGGGAAGTATCACCAATTGCTGGTAATTGTATCTTGTGGTTTTAAAATGAAATTATGGAAGAGTGCCCGGAGAAAACTCAACACAATACTCAAAGCGATCCGTAGAGATACGAAGATCTTAGAAAACGGCTGCCCTCTGTCCCACCTCCTACTATGGGCAACAAGCCCGGCGTGCCTACTTGATTCCGTAAGCAGTGAACACGATATGATGTACGCAGTGACTTAGAAGGGCACAAAATACAGTGACACGTTTTCACACACTGCCCAATAATACCAACAGTGCAAAATAATTGGGTGGCAGGGTGGTGGCACAGTGGTAACACTCCTGCCTCACAGCAAGACGTTTCTGAGTTCAATTCCCAATTCTGGATCCTTACTGTGAGCAGTTTGTATTCTCACCCCCCTGTTCTGCATGGGTTTCCTCCGTGTTCTCCGGTTTCCTCCCATAGCTCAAAACATAACTGGTATCAGCCCAAACTTCCCCAATGCTAAAAACTTAAATGTAAACCACTCAACTGGAATCACGCACAGCAGCAGCAACATCGCCCCCAAATCAGACTCCGTGAGGCATTCCTGAGTAAACAAGCGAAATCATAATAATCATAACATACCCTCAACTGTTCTCACAG